GCCAGACAGAGACTGGTGGACCCAGTCAGATCAGGACCTGGGGGACTCGGGCCAGATAGAGACTGGTGGACCCAGTCAGATCAGGACCCGGGGACTCGGGCCAGACAGAGACTGGTGGGACCAGTCAGATCAGGACCCGGGGGACTCGGGCCAGATAGAGACTGGTGGACCCAGTCAGATCAGGACCCGGGGACTCGGGCCAGACAGAGACTGGTGGACCCAGTCAGATCAGGACCCGGGGACTTGGGCCAGATAGAGACTGGTGGACCCAGTCAGATCAGGACCCGGGGACTCGGGCCAGACAGAGACTGGTGGGACCAGTCAGATCAGGACCTGGAGGACTCGGGCCAGATAGAGACTGGTGGACCCAGTCAGATCAGGACCAGGGGGACTCGGGCCAGACAGCGACTGGTGGGACCAGTCAGATCAGGACCCGGGGGACTCGGGCCAGACAGAGACTGGTGGGACCAGTCAGGTCTAAACTATCCACTGGGTTCAATTTCTGGCCAAACAACAGACAAGTCTACATAGGGAACTAATAACACTAGGGAATCCACATTTCCTAAAACCATTTGAGATCAGACGGGCACCATTTACGCCAGGGCCCAGTACAGCAGGGTTAGGACAAAAAGGGACCTAGGAATGCAGGGAGGGCGTGGGATAAGTCATGTTAGTGTGAAGACGGCACCAACGGTGTGAAACCAGATGCCGATGAACTGTGGAACGAAAACAGATTTGATCACAGACCTTCCCCTAATTCACACACACACAAAAAAAGCTGAAAATAAACAAACAAGCACAAACTCCCTTAGCTCTTAGGGAAAGTAGTAGGCAAATGGAGAGACAATCTAAAAGAAGGAAAAAAGCAAAGATATGCATCTCATAGACCCGTATACTCATAAAACATGCCATTCATGTGCTGATTTCTAGCTGGGAGGTGAGGAGGGTGGAGGAAGGGCGATCTTTCTCCCCTAATTCCATTCCTAAATGGGGCTAACAGCCAGAGTGTGAGGATCCAGGATGTGAAAAGACCCAGAAGAGGAGAAGCATCGCGGAGCCCTGTCTGCAGTCGGCGGGGCTGTCAGAGGCCACCGAGTTTGACTATTGTCGCCCTGAGATCAGAAATCTGCTCTGTGAGCACCTGCATCTCCATACCTTGTAAATTTTATTTTACTTTTTAAATTTTACTAGTTTAATTGAGTTTATGATCCTTTGGAACTTCTGTCGTGACTGAATTAAGGGAAGGCAATGTTTGAATGTGCTAATCGATCCCTGGGAGAGCTAGAAGAAAGGTGAAAACTCCGGAGAGAGCAAGTGAAGGCAGCCCTCCACGGTCTAGTCCATTCACCCAGGACCCCTCGGGGAAGCTGCTCTCGAAATAACGAACACCTGCCTCTCAGCCCCCTTCTCCGTTTCCCCTCATCCCTCTGTTCTCTTCCCTCCCACTGCCTCCCCACTGCTCAGAAGCCTGTCATTCATACAGAGACGTTCCTAGTTGCTCAGATTTGGGTCTCAGCACTTGCTGTCTCGTGAATTATAAAGTGGGGTGGCCTTGATTCTTACTCACCATCTCCTGGTCATCATTCCTCCGACCACTTGGCTGGGGCCCAAAGAAGAAGCCAACCGGGGGAGAGTTACCCTCTTTGGGACTTGAATTCTTTCCCTCCAGATAACATAGAGGTTTCTTTTCCAGACAGAAGTCCTCTTTGTTTCTATAGAGAAATTAGACAGAATCCGATTAAATATGTATCAATTCAATTGAAACATTTAGTAATTTTATTTAAGTTTAAAGTCGATGAATTCTATATAAAGTTATACCTTTTTTTATGAGACGGGAACCCCCCAGAAATCGCATTACCTTGCTGAAGAACTATTTTTATTTGAAGTCTCTTTCGAACTTAACCAAACAACTAAGTGAGGGGTCCCTCCGTGTAAATGACTTGTCCGTTGGTGCTTCCATGAGCAGGTCTCGCTGTTGACAACAAGCCTGCCGTCACCACACCTGTTGCTATAACTGAGATTCTAACATTCCTCCTTCCCCTTTCAGAGAGAACTCACAAACATAAGCCTTCAGTCTTAACTCTATGAGGGGTCCCCCGCCTCAAAAAAAAAAAAAAGAAAGAAAAAACCGGAATTGTGCTGGGCAGAGCGGAACTTTCGTAGAATGTAGAGCGGATCTTTCACGCTAGATGAGCATCGAGTAACTTGCTCTGAGCTAGTGTGTCCAGTGGCATTAGCCCGGGAAGGTTCTCTCTGGTCACAGTGAATTTTTTCGCAAAAGCAGTTTTGCTCCAACCTCATTCTGGGGGATGGCTGGTTGAAGAGACCAGTGTGCAGCTGAGAAATTTTGTTTCCTGCTCAGGAAAAATGCTGCAGAAACTTCTGTGAAGTTGAACACGGCGTACAAGGGCAGCGCTGTGGGAAACTCAAGTGTACGAGTGGTTTTCTCTATTCAAAAAAGGTGAACTGTTGATTGATGACAAACCTCGTTCTGGACATCCATCAACTTCCCAAACAGATCAAAATGTCTACTTATAGTGCATTTGGAGTTCCTTCCACCAGGTCAGACTGTTAATCAAGCTTTCTATTAGAGGTTCTGAAAAGATTGCATAACAACGTGTGACAAAAAAGACCTAATTTGCGGCAGATGGGGGACTGGTTTTGCCACCATGACAATGCACCTGCTTACGCAGCCATCTCAGTGTGCCAGTTTTTGGCACAAAAAAAAACAACCCATCATGCCTCTCTCGCCCCGCCCATCTTACTCACCTGCTTTGCTCCCTGAGACTTCTCTCTTGCTTCAGAGAACGCAGAGGGGCGTGAACGGACAGTGATTTGACAACGCAGAAGAGGTGAAGAAAAAAACGAAGGTGCTGCCAGCCATCCAAACAGTGAGTTTGAAAAATGTTTCCAGAATGGAATTGCAGATTTGACAAATGTATTCAGTGTAATGGAGAGTACTTTGAAGGTGATAAGGTTGTTTTGTAAGAAAATTTAAATATATAGCTTTGAAAAAAAATTCCATTTGTGTGTGTGTGGTACCCCTTTGTAAGCCTCTCCCATGTAATATTTCCGTTCTTATCTCGGTCTCACTTTTCAAGAACAGGTATTTGAGGGCAATTAATTAAATTAACAATGATTAAAGTTTTGATTATCCCGAAACCTTTCCCCAAAAGGCCTGCCAGAGATTGTACAGAAACGTAACCCAATATAGTATATTCTTCATATACTATACTATACTATACTATAGTATACTATACTATACTACTTAATATACTAATATAATATACTGTAAGAATGATTCTCAGTCGTTTCAAGGTCTTCAGCTACCAAATGAACAGGGTTTCCTTTCAGCACTGTCTCCAGCTCTCTCCGAGAAACAGTGCTACCAAACATTCCATCACCCTGCAGGGACACCGAGAACCCCAGCAGGGCCAGCTCCTTCTCTCCGGTCATCTGCTTCTACTTGACAGCACAGAGCTCCTCGCCAGGCAGATCATCATCAGTTGCCGGCATCAAGCACCCCCCAGAGTCCTCCAGCTCTGTATTACTCACACACTGTATTCATCAAATTCTGAGCCCGCTCAGGAAAAGGAAAGGAAAACTACTGCTGATTATTATTACTAAATACTTTCACTGGGGACTCTTACAACTCTTATCACAATCCATACACTCATCCATTGTGTCAAGCACATTTATGCATATGTTGCCATCATCATTTTCAAAGCATTTTCTTTCTACTTGAGTCCCTTATCAGCTCCTTATTTTTTCCTTATTGTGTGTGTGGTACCCCTACCTTCCTCATGAACCCTTTTTTTTTAAGAAACAGAATTGTAGGCCAACCAAGCAAAGAAAAATGAATAATTTATGTTTATCCTGTTTGGTGCTTTTAAATTATTGCTATTATTATTAAGGTATATTTTACTTGCCATAAACTTCACTCACGTTAAGTACAAGTAAGTACACTCATGTACAAGTAAGTCCATGTTTTTTAGTGTATGTACAGCATTGTGCCACTGTCACCACCTGTGGTAGTTACATCATCTGTTGTCAACTTGAGACTATTAAGAGTGAAGGGGTGGAGTCTAGCTTGATGATCTTATTTGGGTGGTGCAAATGGAGATAAATAGCTCCCTGGAGGCCTGAAACAGACACACTCCCTGGGATACATTCCTGTTGACAAGCTACATGGAGCTATACTGATGGCAGCCAGTCTTGGAGCTGGAGGAGCCACATAGAGACCCACACCAGAGCTAAGATGCTTCCACCGCCACTGGATCCACAAGACTTTTCCCCCACTAGCTGTGATCTTCCTGCACTCAGCATCATTGCATATGTTTTGTGAGCCTGAAGAGGAATTTACAGACTGGTATCAGATATAGGGGCTAATCTCAGACTTATGGACTTGATCTGGACTAGACTGGGATGTTTTCTAATATACAATTACTCTTTATATAAAACTCTTTCTTATACACATATGAGTGTCTCTGGATTTGTTTCTCTAGTTAATCCAGACTAACATACCACCACCTTATTTGAGGCCACTTCTACCTCCCCCAAAACTTCATGCCCACTTGCAGTCACTCTGTTTTAGCACCCTGGCCCTACTCAACTTTTGTTTTGTTTCCATCTATTTACCTTTCATGGATATTTAAGGTACAATGGGTGACCTTTCATGACTGGCTCCTACCAGAGTAGAAAGCCCCATTTTCGTCAGGGCAATGTTTCATCCTGTTGTACATAAGGTCACTCTGAGTTAGAAGCAACTTGATGGCACCTAACAACAACAACAACACGTGCATGCCAATGCTGGGAAGTGAATTAGGAAGGTGTGAAAATAACCGATGCGTTTGAATGATGATGCCAGCAGAGAATAATGAATAGAGTATGGACTGTGGCAAGGATGAGCAAACCTGTCTTTGGAGGAGGAGAACCAGAATGCCTCTTAGACGTGACATTGGCTAGACTTTGTCTCGCGCACTTTGGACGTATGTTATGAGGCGGGACCACCCCCTGGCAAGGACACCTTGCTTGGGAAAGTGGAGGGTCAATGGAAAAGAAGAAGATTAACTGATACAGTAGCTGCAACAACGGGCTCTAACATAGGATGTTATGAACTGTGGGAAACAGAAAGGTTTCTCCCAAGGTGTCTCCCCCAAATATATGCCGAACTTAGCTGCTTGCTACACATGCTAAATGACTACACTTTGAGGTCAACAGAAGTAGGTCAGGGTTATGTCCCTAAGGGTTATCAGCCATCTAGAGCAATCAGACTATATAATCTGTCCCACCCGAAGTAGGGCCCACTCCCTTGTGATATGGATAGTAGTAGCTTGTTTCCTTGTAGGAGAGCCCAGGGAGGTCAAGCACATTCAAAGGTGACCAAGGTTAGCCCACCATCATGAATCTAGGGTGCGCCCTTCTTGTCATATGTATACCCTTAGTCCCTCCCTTCCTACTGTGTGCACACTCCTAGCTCATTCCCTTCCTATCACGCTTATGCCTATTGTACAGCCCCTTCCTGTGACGTGTGTGGCTACCTGTAATCACACCCCCTAAGTAGATATAAGCCTTGGTTAGCAATAAGTCATCCCACCTCGCCTCACTCTCCTGCTCTCTCCCCTGCCCTCGGCCCACGCTGTGCGCGGACCTGGCTGGTAAGATCATGGCCAACCAGGAGGTGAGCATGCTACCATGAAATGTGTCTGACTCTCTCCCCCAATTTCTCTATGACTATTATAGTCTTTATATATCTTAACTGTACAATTGCGCCTATCAAACCCGCGATTAGTTGTGGGGTGCTGGCCTCCCCCCACAATGAAGACGGCACAGACTGGAGCAGTGTTTTGTTTCTGTGCATTGGGTCGTTATGAGCCAGAACATATTCACTGGCATCTAACAACAACACAGCACAATAAACATGTATGGAACCATATGTCAAACTATTTCCCAAAGTGGCTGCACCTTTATATATCCCCACCAACACTGTATATCGGGCTTCAATCTTTTTAAATCCTACAATTAGTGAATGAGATCCTTAACTATATAGAGAAATCTTGTACTTTTAACTCCTGAACTAGTTAATTGAGAGGATTTCCCACGTTACATGCTTTATAAAGTACCACTTTTCTGCTTCGAACACCTCTTCACTCTGCATACAGTATTTTAACAGCTACTATCCATTCAAGTTAATAATAAAAAAACTCCATTTTTATTCCTCCAATTCAATTTAAGTTTTATATTTTTAACTTCAATACGGGGAGACTTCCAAAAGTTCATGGGAAAAGGAACTGAAAGATCATGGGATTTTTCCACAAATGTTTTGAAGCTCCTCTCATAAAACTTGTGAACCATTTCCCCTCATTTCTGCAGTTGCTATTTCTAAATGGATAGCTGTTTGTTTTAACCAGAAAAAGCTGAGGAAACAGGCCACTTCCCCTAGACCCCATGGTGAGAGGTGCCCAATGCCATGCCACAACAGAGCCTGGTACACATCTGTACTGACTCCTGGAACTTGGTAGAGCAGAGGGCAGCCACACAGTCAGAAGGACTCAATGGAAGCAGAGGCAGGGTAGGCAAGAACAGACTTACTTGCAAGTAACTGGTTTTACTTCTTCCGGGGGTTCCTGAAGATGGCATGTTGTGGCGGAGAGTTTCGAATCAAAACTACTACGGTTACTGTTCACTTTCACCTTTAACCTTTAACAAGATAACATGTGTAAGGATGTTCAGGAAAGCAATATGAGCTCACAGATATACAAAAATTGGTATTATACACGGACTGTTATGTACCTTGTCCAAAATACCATTACTTCAAACTGGTGTATATCCTTGGATGTGATTCATTACTTAAGAATTGCTGAAATCATGATATTTGTTTGCTATATCCTGGTAACCAATACACTTAAAAGCAGCTAGGTGAAGTTTAAAGCACTCTCTCTACCCCCTGGGATCTTACACTGATCTCAAAAGAAGCAGTAGCATTTGTGTAGTTTACAATCAACACCAGTAAATGGTTGTCCCTTGTGGCTGTCCACATTAGTTTGAACAGTTTGGAAGAAGCCCTTCCATATTCTGTTACTTGCCCAAACTAGGCCTGCCCCAGAAAGAATCCAAACACTCCATTTCCCAGTCTCCCTTGCCGTAAGCTGCCTTAGAGTGTACCAATTGTCCATCACACAGGGCATGACTGGAACAGTGATACGGCTCTGGCCATCTTGCTGGCACCGATGATAGCAGAGCTGGTGGTGGCCTGAGCTGGTGCTAGCCGGCAGCAGCAGCTCCCAGATTCTGCGCACAGAAGTGACTGCATGCGCCTCAGCCCACCAATGCTACGCTGTGATCTGGGGAGTCATTCCTGAAAGCTCAGCCTGTTTCTGAAGACCTCTCCGTGATACTCTGGGCGATCTACATCCGTAATACGGAATCCTTTTCCACAGCAAACTGAATTGTCTGAAACTGAGAGCCAGAGACAGTGTCGTGATGGATTCCCTATCACCAGCAAGCAAAGAAAGGGCCACGTGAAGAATCCATGTGGAAAAAACAAAATCAAACAGATCCTGATTAAATTAGGATGTGTTTTCCTGGGAAATGTAGATTTTTAACATAGATTTTGAGTTAAAGAAAATAAGTGGGTATGGTAGGCAGCTGGTTAGCATCTAAACATTATTGGTATAATTAATGAGAGGACAAGATGGTTTCCTGTGATTATATAGCTGAAAAGAGGTCACCCAGTGACTCATTAGTCTGTAGGAAGCTACAATAAGCAGGACTCTCCTGGGGCACAGTCTTGGAAAAGCGGCTAAGCAGTAAGGAGAGCCCAGGATAATGAAGAGTTTAGGGGTGAGGTATTATCTGAAAGACCTCCCAATTCCCTCTCATCCTTTTGCTCACAGCAAACTGAAGCTATGGACAAAAATGGCCTTGCCCAACAAACCCAATGGCCTCTTCCCAGTCTGCCCGATTCCAGAGCACTTGGCACAGGGTCTGATCTTCTTGTAACCCTTTCCTCCCCTCGCCTCAGTGGCAAATATGCTTATCTTCCTGCTTTACTGACTGCTTCTTCTGTCTCCTTTTCATCTTCTCCTCCATCTGTTTCACTAAGCTGCATGCTTCCAAAATGAATGTCTTGACTTTTATTCTCCAGCACGGAATCTTTTTCTCCTCTAAGCTATCTCTCTTTCCCAGCCTCCGGTGATATCTCATTCCTTGAATGGATCACGAAGATATCAAATTCATTACAAACAAAATTGTACTCATCAGCTGCCTTTCTGAACTTGCCTCTCCTGTTCCCTCTTATGCTAAAGGCCCCTCCACCTTCCCAGTGACTTCTATTTAAACATCAGGGTCTCCTTTGAGTCCCTTTGTCCCCACTCACTACACCGACTCATTGCTAGTTCATGAATCGAACACTGACTTGGTGTCACCCAACCAATATCCTCACGGAGTTTAGGAAACATATAAAGAGATAGGTGTGAGCAAAAGAGACAACAAATATAGTGTTATCTTGTTGTGCACTGTCAAGTCAATTCTGATTTATACTGACCCTATAGGATAGAGAAAAACTGCGTCGGCAGCTTCCTAGGCTGTCATCACTACAAGAGCAGAGGGTCAGGACTTCTCTCCCATGGAAGCCCGGGTGAATTTGATCACTGCTCTTGCCATTAGTTCAACCACTGTGCTACCCGGGATCCTCATCACTAGTCTAGTAATGGCTGACTAGAAGCGCTGAGGCAGTCATTTCTACCTGGTTTGCTTAGGCACTTCTGAAAGGAATTTTGAACGTTCACATACCGTCTTGTACATTTTATAATATACACCTAGAATTTTTTATCAGATGCTTAAATAAATTTGTTTCTTGTTAATAAGAGATCTCAAAAGTATCAAACATTCATCATAATTTTAAACAGAGAGAGAGCGAAAGTATTGCCTTACTAGGAGTGAAAATTATATAATACGATTTGATCAAATAGATTTTAGCTACCATCTTGAATAATGCACACCACATCAAAGAGCGATAACATAATACTTTGTCTTAGAGTTAGAGACAATGTATTTTAAAAATGTGGGCATTCAAAAAATCATTCCAGTTATATTTTAATGAAGCATTTCTAAACTACTTGGCTTCGGCTATTCTAAATTCAAAGTAATCCAACACAGGCCCACTACACTGATTGTAAAGTCAAGCCCTTAAAAAAATAATATAATTCAAATATATATTATTAACTGTATATATTAAAGTGCATATATATGCCAAGGGTTACGGTCTTGATTGATCCCTAACAAAAGTCTCTCTGAGATCAATATTTGTATTTATTTATATGGCACCCTAGAGCACTTTTAAAAGTAGGGAAAGAATATGAATGCAGGCTTATTCTCAGGTAGATCAATGTTTGAAAATAGTGCATATGGACCTCAGGATCTATAAATTGATTCCCTTCAAACTATCTGTGTCTGAATATGCTTTGGAAAGTCTTTGCAAACTCTCACTGTAAGTACCAAACCACCCAAACCTATTGTCTTTCAGTCAGTTCTGACTCATAATGATCCTACATAGGGTTTCTGAAGCTATAAGTCTCACACAAACAAACAAAACTAATTGTGACGGAGTCAATTCTGCCTCATAGTGGCCCTAAAGGACGAAAGAGAGCTGCCCCTGCGGGCTCCCGAGACCGTAACTCTTTACAGGAGTAGAAAGCCTCCTCTAGCTCTCTCGGAGTGCCTGGTGGTTTCAAACTGCTGGTCTTGTGGTTATGCACATAAACTAACCCACTATGCCACCAGGCTCCTTAAGGGGGCAGCTAGCCTGTCATTCTCCAGTGGAGCCGCAGTGGGTTCAACCTTCGACCTTGTGATAAGCAACGCCTAGCCAACAGCACCACGCGCTCTCTGCGGTCGAGCAGATGGGTAGAACTGCCCCTTGTGAGTTGCTGAGACTGCAACTCTTTACTGGGGAAGAAAGCCCTGTCTTTCTCCCGCAGAGCGGTGGGTGGTTTCAAACTGCTGGTCTCTCAGTTAACAGCTCACCATGTAACCATTACGGCAACAGGGCTCCTTTTATTGATTGTATCGATGAGTTTGAAATCCACTGCATTGAGGTACCCCACCCACTCAATACAACGAGACCCTACACAGAGCATACTATTTGGAGGCATCATTAGTTTCGCAAAAGTTAAGGAAGTCTTTTAGAAACACACCAAAAAATTAATTAAAGATAAGGGGGAAATGCACCAAAGGGGGAAAAAAAAGGATCTCAGGGTAGACATGAGGGCGTCACAGTGGTGGATAGCAGGGAAAGGTGGAATAGGCAGCCCTAGGAGCAAATACAAATAGTAAACTTAACCGCAGAGATTCAGCATCCAGAAAGACTACAGAAATTGGAATGATCATATACAAAATGTATAAAATGTTTAAATAAAAGATCTAGTCACCGTGAAGAGAAAACAATAAGAGTCTATAGAAATGAGCAAGCAGATTGATGGGAAGTTTTTTTTTGTTTTGTTTTTTTTAACATTTTATTAGGGGCTCATACAACTGTTATCCCAATCCATACACACATCAATTGCGTAAAGCGTATTTGTACATCATTTCTCAAA